TCTTTTCTAAATGTCCGCATTATGAGCTTGGACTTCAATAGAGAACTTGTAAAAAATGTTCTTTGTCCAAGTCAATTTCCATTAGTATATAATAAATATGTTAATATTATCGATTTCTTCCTTCTTGCACTCGATTCTGACAAATCTCAGATGAATCAAAAGGGGTCTGATTTAAAAGGAAATAATAAAGTGTTTAACGCTTGTTCAAACTCAAGAACTTCGTTTAATTACCCGCCGTGGAGACGACTGTTTATCAGGAAAACGTCTATCTTTCACAGTCTCACTGTCTCATACAAACTTGAGGCTCGATCCCTATGATATCAAGTTTATGGGCGTCGACTACCCGATTTTGGCGAGTCTACAAAAACGCTTTAGCATCCGTTTACAAAGAGTTAAGTTTGAAAATGGTTTTTTGATTCAAATCCACCTATTGGTATGGCTGGGTTCTTTGTTCTCTTAACTTCCGCCAAGCTACACCCGTCACGTGATACCTCGAAAGCACGCGAGATCAGATTGAATTATAGTTATCACTTTAATTTTATGTCATTGCTTGATCGTTTACTTTCGAAGCCATGCATTACTTATCTTGATTTCATAACAAAATCAAGTGATCAGTTTAGTTTCGAATAACATAAGTTATGTCAAACTACTCCAAAAAGCATGTATTCCTGTTTCTACTCGTGGTGTTCGACCATTAGCATATCAATAGACTAGCCTATTRGATTTACCTAAGAGAGGATATGTGTTMTATAATGTATCGYCGTTACCGAAAAATCCKCGAAAAATGTTACACGACGCAATACACCTAAACCCTGGAAGTTTCAAAAGTCAAGGKGCTGTTCAGTTTAACAGAGGGGATCATAGTTGTTATAGTCTATAAACATCAAGTTTAAAGTTTCATTGTATTTCCATATAAGCACTGTATATCAATGCAGTTCTWCCGAAGTCACTAGTCCCGTGAAGTAGATGTTCGACCTCATTTGTACTTTTCTCTCCGCGTATTTTTTCATAGTTTGTCCGCGGCCTAATTAATGAAACCATAATTGATTTTTATTGTTTTCTTTTCTTTAGCCCTCGTTGCTTTCCTTTTGTAATTACTGCATTATATCTTTATTTCTCTGGTTATAATTTTACCTAGTTTGGTTGGTTACACATTGCAGCTTCTCCTATATTAGTGCAACACTGAATAGTTTTCATTAATCTTCAGGATTGACAGTAATAAACGAAAACAAGATGTGAAGTTACTTCCAGAAACGCTTTAGATTTTTGCGTCCACGAGTTTTAGTATGTCATAGGTTCCTCGTTCTCGAGTTATGTTGCAAGAATCGCCTGTAAAAGACATTCGTAATCACTTATAGATAGGGACCTCTACAGCGGAAAAATTTGCAATATGTACAAAAACCTTTGGTACAACGTAACCCCAGTTTGTGTGAATTGAACATCGACGGAAGGAATAGTCGAGGGTAAGTGTAACTGCGATGAAAAAGTATGACGTGATGCAAATCTTCCATATCATGAACCTCTATAGGAATTTTAAAAGATCTTTGTTGGTTGTATTTTTCATATTTATACGTAGTTTGTTTAATCAACCATGAATTATTTAAACTTCTATAGGAATGTTAGCACACTAGTAAACATGTAGTTTAATGTTTGAATTATTTTTAAAAATATGTAAAAAAATATGTCTAGCTTATGTCTTAAGCATATTATTAAGGATAATTATTTCTTGCAATAAATATACCACCTCGGGGAGGGGGAGGGGGGCGTTCCGCTGGTACTCTATTAAAGACAGTAAAATAGTGAAATTCTGTACTCTATTCAAAACACGAAGGCCAAAAACCATACCCTGTTATACGGGACGGTCCCCGTATAGTACATATAGGGGAGTACCCTCCAGGGTATATCACAACTATCGGTATTTAAGGGGATTTTGATTTCTTGGGATTCTTGTTGCATACTGGCCGGATACAGAAAACTGTCCAAAATATATTGATAACAGGAATGTATAGTATATATGTCAACGGATAACAGGAATGTAGTATATATGTCAATTGATAACAGGCAATGTAGTTATCGTAGATCTCTGACAATATGAACGATACAGGATCTTGTAAGCAACGAAGACCTCGTCATGTCACCAGAAAGGCAGCGTCTCCGACCATGGCTTGAAGATCGCATCAACAGTGGTGAAGTACCTGGATTAAGGTGGCTGGACCCAGAGAAAACGAAGTTCCGTGTTACCTGGAAACATGCTGGTAAACCAGATTTCAATCTCGAAACGGATGCCGTCTTGTTTCGAATGTGGGCTGAGCATACTGGRAAGTACAAGCGAGGAGAGCAGCCCGATCCCTCGACATGGAAGACGAGGTTTAGATGTGCTTTACATAAGATGCCAGATATTGAGGAGATTCGTATACCACACAGCCTTGATGAGAATGAACCATTTAGGGTATTTCGCCTTAAACCTAAAGGTAGGTATGCTATTCTAACCACAGTAAGCTATAGCTAAAGTTTTAATTTTTACGATTTATTCAGATCATCTTGTCATAAAGGTATTACAAATGAATTAACAATGATCATGTTTAAAAGAAATTCTTTGATTGTACAATATTGCTGATTTAGATTGGCTTCATGTGAAATTCTAAAATAGCATCATGAACAATGCTTGGCAAGTCATATGACTGTCAAAAGACCAGCATCAACAATAAAGCCATGATGCATGAACTAAACATTTTAATAATAGAATATTACGTTATTGTCAGTTTTTTCCATGCTTAATCATTCCTCCAAGTCCATAGTGTCCAATGTCCATGATAACTGTTGATAATTATCATGTATTCTGACCTTKTAAGGGGAATCCCCCTTTAACTAATGATAGTTTGACTATCATTTTCTATGATTAAAACTATTCTTTCTATGGTATCAATATGTATATACTTCCACCATGTAGAATTGATCAGGCATGAAGAAAATATCGTAAAATATCATTGATATAAGTAAGAAAGGAAGGTATTTCGTAAAGACACTGAGAACAAGTAGAGCATGAGAGGGATTAACATAGGGGTCAAAGCCTGAAGGAATGTGATCTTGAACCTGAAAAGAACCCAAATTGGAACTTGTAGAAATAAAATGACAAGGAAGATTAAAAAGCATAAAACAAGAACTKAAAATTGATGCAAAGTGAAAAGATGGATTCTATATTCCATTCGTAAGACGACAAGTTATTGACGAAGATATTCTTCAAATGTATCGCTCCATCATTACCATAATATAGAGTACAATGCTAGAAAAAAATAAGCAAAAAAAGTTATTTATTAAAATTATTCGCTTAAGCCGTAGTGTACGACTAGTTGGAAAGCTAAGTCAACAATGTCTGTTTTAGCACATCATTTGTGCAACATCTTGATTAAATCTATCAAATTATTCTGAAAGAATTATCAAATTAACTGAAAGAAAGAGGGTTTCAAAGGTGTGCGGGACATGATGAAATAGGAATGTCTAGATTACATAAAGAAACTCGTCTAGTTTCCATCGTGTATTTGATTACACACTCAATAGCTTGGATCTRCTGGACGATCGAAAGTAGCTCTGCTGTATTCGTTACCGCTTTAGTCAAATTCTATCAACATAAAAAGGTGTTTATGCTTAACAGGTATTATACTATCATATCAAAGAAATTCACAAACCCTTGCTTCAATGATAATGTTTTTATTTGATGTGATAACTTGATTCACAGCAAGGGGTAACAGCCCTTTGTCAWGATCAACCAACACGTGCTTTACTACATGGTTCAATACTATAATCCTGTATACTTTATCTCAGAAATCACAATAATTACTAGCAATAGTTAACATTATCACGTTTATTCAAACTGAGAATACTGAACCGATTTTTTTTACGTCGTGACAGATCAGTGATACCTGTATTTGAAGACAATAAACGATTTTTTTTCTTGACTTTTCAAATCGGTAATTGAATTCAATTAATGCCTGTGTAGATGCGAGAAATGTCATTTAGTCCATTTTAAAGGTTTCCTGTAACGATTTGTTTAGAAAGACCAGTGTTTTTACGCAAAAAAATAATTCAGCTCCGACAAATTCTCATTAATCTGTTGATTATTGCACAGTAAAGAAAGAATACTGGGAAAYTCAAAAGTTGTTCAAAAAGTGAACAATATTACTAATACTAGTTCATTCTGTTTGCAGTAACTACATCCAAACCGCGCAGACACTCCATCAACACTAACCATAAATTCCCAACATTACCTCCCTACTCTTCAACTCCTCCACTCGATTTCAGTCATCCTCCACCATATGTAAGTATAACTACACTCTAAACCAGTAGCCATATTATTTTGGTTTCCAGCGGATTTCCTGCTAATTGCGTTCCTTAACTCATCCTTKTGGATTTTGATGCAATTCATTTACGAACAATATTGCAAAAASGGAGGGGAGGTTGTAGTAACACAATTATAGGCGATGTTTCACATAATTTTGCAAAAGATTATAGTTCAATACATCATATTTACTCCATAAGAAAGTGTTAATCGCATTTTTTATATTGCTGTTTTAGCAGATGCGCAATGGTTTCCATGGTAATATGACAAAGAGCACTATTCCCATGAGTGATTTGTGGTCATCGCTCCCCCCGATCAGCGGTCACATGTCAACTCACACAAACTCCAATGACTTCAGCAGTATCATGCTTGAGGATATTGATCGCATTACACCTACTATCCCTCCCATCCCTTTGWCTTTTTCCTTTGACCAGTCAGTGGATCACTTTAAACAACAACAGCCTGCACCAGCGTTGAACGATGATTTCTTCAACAACAATGACCAGTACAGCACTTATGAACCAACACTGACAGAACTCCACAGCGTGTCCAGGGGGGAGCAATTTAGCTACTCTGGGGGTGGTATTAGTGACGGGATGTCGTACAACAACAATATGACTTACAACATGGTAGGAAATGCATGCCAGAACATGGTATACCATGGACTAAATGGTAATTATGACAATTGTAACTCCTAATTCTCATGAGGAGTGATATGATATATCCAGTGTTTATCATGTCTGGTGCTTAACCATTAATAAAGGATGAATAAAACAACTGATATTTTCACATTGATAAAGGGCCTAACCCCGGTCACCAGATGGGACATGCCAAGATGTTTCATATACCAACAGATGTGGTAAGGAAAACGGTGGCTTACTGGATCAGTATTCACTAATSACATTGATATTGTATTCTCACATGCCAGGTGCAAGAGATGGTCGACCCGACTATATCAAACTTATCAAGCGASTTTGGTGAGAGTTGATTGTACGTTTATCCGTCTCATTCTTTGTCTATTTGACTTGCTTGTTAATTGGCAATTAGATTTAGTTGTTYATRTGTGTATGCTAGCTAMGGCATATAGACCACGAGCTCATTTCCAGRTTTATTTTCGGGTGGATTGTCCAGATTTATCTGATGGTTTAATAATGTTAATTTCTGTTTGCAATTCCAGTAAGTAGTACCATGGAATATTCTACATCAAGCACCGAGGTAAAATTGCTGTTAGCAAGTTAAAATAACCAGCAAAACATCTCTTTCAAACTGACAAGTCTTTTTCTTTACAGACGCAATCTTTCGCACTAGCACCTGTAGGTAAAGATAACGAAGAAGCATTAGATAACATTACCAACCAAATACAAACCATGACCATGAACAAAACAGGTTAGACCAGTTATGGTTGTTGTTGTTGCTATAGTGATCAATCGGCTGCATGACGTCTTAGTTGCCATGGTTATTAAGCTGTGGATTTCCCGCTTATACGGGGATATGATAATGATTTTTTTTACAGAAAACATTTGGTCCTGTCGAGTTTACTACCACAACAAAGAAGTAAGTACATTCGAACTGAGCAGCAAGCAAACATGCAGAATAACCTACCAGAAACCGGAGAACCAGGCTCATGATTCAAGTTTAAATCGGTCAGGCAAGGTCGTACTATTGCCTGAGAGCCCTAGTTCTGACAAAGACATACAAGCTGTTCTAGAACGTTTCAACAATGGCCTCATTATAGAGATGATGCTTAATGGAGTCACGTGGGTTACAAAGACCTGTCAATCAAAGGTATTTGCCGCATTATATCATTGTTACAAGGAAAGCTATTTATGGTTGTGTTTTAATTTCAAGGTCTATCTATCACGTGGTGCAGAGAACATCACTAAGCTGCCATATGAAGTTAGAACTGAAGTGTTTGAAGAGTGGAAGTCCAACAACAAGACGTTTGTGTTATCGCTGGGTGAAGAACCTCATGAAGCGTTAGTTAAACTAGTTTTTTTACCTGTACATGAGCGAACTATGGAACAAAAACCATGCCTTTTGCAAGGAATTTATCCAAGTCAGTTGTAGTGTTATTATCAAAGTTTGTTTCTTACGAGAAATTAAAATAATCGATTCTTTTGAAACATGCAGTAATGAGAGAGAGTGACTAAGATATCATTTAGTCTCGCAGTTATTTTTATACTGTAAAGACTTTAAATAGACCATCTTGTATCAAGAATTAAGAAAACACAAAGACAATATTGCATAGGGGAGACAAGTTCTCCTCTCAACACATGCATGTTGACGACTACAATACGAGGCGACTATGAAGTCTTTATTCCTTTCATTAACTCATAAATCTATATCGTTATTGCCCCCAAAGCGGTCCTCCTGACTGAGACAATTGGTCTATTTGCAATGTGTTCCAGACAGTAACTGAGGTGAACTAATTAAAAGAGAGTGATATCGATAAAGTCAGACTTGGCTGTGATGGGCGAGGTCATCTCTAGGTTGCACATGCAATGGTCGTATAATAACTCTGAATAGTTTGTCTCCAGAAGCTTAAGACACAAAGAGCTCTAAAAAATGCTTGATAGTGTCCAAAATGAATACCTTCTGGGATTTTATATTTTGATATAATAACGTAGTTTAAGATGTAATTGATAATGTCATGTACTCGTATGATGGATGGGTATCTGCTTGGAGGGAACCAATAGTCGAATACAAAAGTCAACAGTTTTAATGTGCTTGCTTAGCCGTGGTAACAAACACTTTCAATGTGTAAAGTAATTGCCATTAAGATATTCGCTGTATAGTTGCTTAGTGGAGAGTGTGCAGCGAGGTGCAGTGGGCTTTGTACTAGCCTACACTTCCGCTAAGATACAACAGCTCACGTGAGCTCCCAATGAAAAAAAAAACATTCATTATCAAAGATAATCAATCAAAACGTGAAAAGCACTTTGCATTGGTATTAATAATGAAAATGTGTTGTATTTTTAAGATGTTTATTGAATGATAGAATTCCTGGATATGTTTCTATCGTAGACTAGTTTAGTATTTAATCTMATTAAATAGTTTGATGATCTTTTAGTATTCTGTCATGACGYTTAAATCATAGTATACTCATATATTTCATAATGAGAATGTTTAATACTGCGCACTTTAAAGTAAATTATATTGTAGTAGATAATAACAATAGTCAAGGGAAGGAAGTCAAGGTCAGGTTGAAAGACATAAGTGTTTTTGATCATATAACATTCGATACCATGGATACTAGGGAMGGTTTTGGCCGAATTCAGCTATATTGCTGGTTGTTCTATCCACTACCAAACACCCAACATTTTTTTACTGAATTTACGCGGAAGTGTTTTTGAACTGCTCTTTTCAAACTGTCTCCCGGAGATCAACTTTTTTATCCAGGATGAATACACTTCTAAGCCTTCTTTTGTATAACACATTGTCTAAACTTCCGGTCTCTAAGCAATAGCTTTTTTTTGTCAAACCCCTTTACTCTTCAATGTAATCAACAACTTAATGGTGCAAACGACAGTAGTATAAACAAGACGGTACTATAAACCAGGTAAAACTATGTATTCACAGCAACTGTATTTTWTTCCAAGTCAGAATTGCAAAGGGTTACAAATATGGTTTGTTTGGTAAACTTAGTATGTATCAATACAAGCAAACAAGCATAAATCTCTTTAAACTCTATCGTGCAAATAAACAAGTACTGTTGGCTTACTTAAATTTAAATGAGAAGTAATCCTTTAGTTGATATTCCATTAAAAACAGGAATATATCAATGTATCAAGGACGAAAACTCCGACTAACTGAATTAAAATCGGAACACAAAAACCYAAAACTAAATTAAACTTAAAGACAAACGTAAAAGAATATGTAATTGAATCATGCAGGGTCAAAAGACTCATTATTGTTAATCAAAACACAATAAAAATACCTAGAATAAGCGATATGGATACCGGAAATAAAATCAACCAATCACAACATATGTTGATAATGACATATTCTTACTGAGGGGAATGCCCCGTGATCCTATTTAAACCGTTTAACATCGCAGTCAGTMAGTCAGTTCTTGTACACATCTCGCAAAGCTCGTCTTGGTGAAGAGTTGGAGCAGTGTGGACAATCCAAAGGCACCAACGTAGACTAATCTTCCGAAAATCAAGTCATGAGAGCAAATAGAGAGAAACTTTTACCATGGCTTGTACAGAAAATCGACAGCGAAAAGGTTCCAGGTCTTCGYTGGATGAACAAAGAAAAGACGGATTTCCGTATTACCTGGAAGCATGCAGGCAAACCAGATTTTAACCTASACAAGGATGCCGTGTTATTTCGAATGTGGGCCGAACATACCGGGAAGTACAAGCCGGGAGAGCAGCCCGACCCCTCCACGTGGAAGACGAGGTTTAGATGTGCTTTGAGAAAACAGCCTGATATCGATGAAGTCCCTATTGCTAATAGTCTAGATGAAAATGACCCATATCGTGTGTTTAGACTGAAAAATAGAGGTAAACAAATGTATGTAGTATTTCAGTATATTGTCGTAAATTATTATTATTCACAGTACCAAACGTTGATGCCGTCTTCCAGAATGCAAAAACAATATATTWCTTAGAAGTCTTGCAATTTGTTCAGCTTTTACCGCCATTTTTCACGGTTATGAAACTCAAGAGAGTTTTAAGAACTACTAAAACTTCATTAATGCGTATTAATCTAAACCGAATCAGTGGAAACAATTGCAGGATAACCACACAAATTTTGTACATATTAAATTCACATTTCAAGTAATGACGGAAGTAATTAAACAGCGCTGAAACGAAGTGGTCCATGAATAGCATGTTATCTCATAAGGGTGTAGTCACACAAGGAACACGGTGAATATATACGGGCGGAAGTTGAAACAGCTGCGATAATCTGTTGAAAAAACTAGCAAAAATATACTCAGTTGGGGTAATATGTGATGATCAGACGAAATAGCAATATGAGTTTCAGAAAGTGTCTAATAACCAGACATGGGCTGGTGAACATGATGTCATCCTTAAAAAATTCGGAGTATGGCCGGGGAATCACCTTAAACTGTACTAATACGTCATCTCTTAGGCATTTGCAAACACACCCACATTGTTCATTTTCACTGAAAACACGGCACTTTCGCTGTTTTGATGGAAAATGCCGCTTATGGGCGGAAAATGAAACAACAACAAACTATAAGCTCGTGTAAAAACAGTAAGAAACCGCTATTGGTTGTTATACAGCAAGATATAATTACACTCGACTTGCTTATTGCTATCGTGCRTGGTATTGCATTTATCTTCTATATCCAGGGACATACTTCAGTTGCACCGCATGATTATGCAAAGTTACAAATGAAAGTACRTGTATCAACAAAGAGTTTACTTCTCGACCAAAGTTAACAGTACATCTAAACAATAAGTGATTTTCATTAGGATTACCATTGTSATGATAGTGATTAATGAGACAAAATAATACAGTTGAATAAACAAAGCATGATAAGTGAATAGCATCATGCATGACATCGAGCGTCCTTTTCGAAACCAGTTACGAAACATATTACTCGATTAGATATCAGGTCAAATCGCATGCTTCGATGGATTATACAATATACTACTTAGGACTTGTTTGTCATTATTGTGTAATCTCTAAAAGTAACATAATTCTTAGGACTTTAACAAGATAAAAATTTAGAAACAAATTTATGATACAATTCACTTGACATTTGAATGATAATACTACTAAGATCAAGAGTTCAAAGATGCTTGAGTCATTTACTATAATAAATCTCCTTCAATTCATGTAGATAATAATAGAAAAGCTTTAACTCTCATTTGTTAGTAATTTGCTGTCTTGTTTTGTCTATAGTGAATCGGATCCCAATGTCCCATACTGCACCAGCTGTCACACCCTCTCCTGATGACGTCACGGAAGTGTCTTCATGCGTAAGTATTGAACGATATGATATATAAACTACTTCACCCTCGCTACTTAATAATGATTTTGCAATTGTTTTATTAAACTAGCTACTCCACCACTATTTATTCAAGTCCCATAGTTTTATAGCCTTACTTTAGCTAGAAATACTTGACTGCGTGTTTTTTGTTCCGTTAGTTTGCTGTAAGTTCCTCTTATAACATGCACTGATGGACACATCAATGGCGTTTTAGAAAAAAGCATTTTTAAAGCATTGGATTTACAATAAATAGTGGTTTATTTTATTTCTTTCAGCATGATCATTTACTTCATGAAATACAACCAGGATGCAATTATGACTTCCCCTCCCCCCAGAGTAGTTACGCGTCAAGTCCTAATATGTCTTCAGATGATTCAGATGACCTTGACAACATTATCCCCACCGTCGGCCCCTTGCTCTACATGACCAGTGAGTTTGATAGCGAGTGGTATTCTCAGACTTTCTCAGAAGAAAGAAACGACTACTTTATCGATCCGTTCCAATCAAGCATGCATAATGGGGCACCATCTATGATGTCACCTCAGACGGCTGATACTTACAACCTTGCTACCCGTCAAGAACAGAATGGTACGTACAACATTATGATTACTGCTCTTGACATCCATYAGTAACCAATGAAATCATTGTGTTCATTCATCCGTTCACTGATTGGTCTTCCCACTTATCATGTACTTCGTTATTCGTTCGTCCATATTTATATCACTATTCTCTTTTATCCCGGCAGATTTAGCAGCTCTTTTTGCAGTGTTCGGTCCAACATTGGTAAGTTATTATAAAGGTTTATCATATGACTAGTAGAGATCATTACGTAATCATATTCCAGCAATATTGCTTCATAATCTAGTTYGACAAGTCAGTCTTAAAATGAGTGTTCATTTTTTGTTTAACATTTTTTTCACAGATGCAGCAAAGGCCAACAGTTTATGGTTCGCCTTTTACAGAAGTATACAGAGACTTACAGACCTACACCGCCATGTCATTAAACTTTAGTGCCTAAAAGTGACAATAATAACAAACTTAAATGGCGTCATTTACCACGTGATACAGCAATTCTGACACACAACTACATTATATAGGCTTAAACCCTGGGCAATAATTAGCAAGAATCAGAACAGAATATACCAGAAATATGAACATCTCTCTTAACTTAAAGTTCTAAGGTTGAGTTGTGGGCAAACTACTTCCCTTTGCGAAGTTGTGCATACAGACTGTTGTCACGTGATCAAATGCTACCGTAATCATGGAAATATTGATATCATTCTATGATATGTTATTAATTCATATTGAATTAGCATTCATCAATACTTGTCTGTTTTAAGACAAGGCTTATTAAAACTTGACAAGAAGTTTGTTTAAAACGATGACAAATCAGTTGTTACATCACAATGTCTAACGGCGATATTTTACTATTTGTTAGCAAATGAGATATGTTTGTCTGCTCAAGACATTAAATATGACGTGGATAAAACATTCAGAGTTAAGGTCCATCAATTCAGATAACGAAACGGTATCCAATAAAACAAGATGAGAAAAATGTATCTATTACTTACTGTGGAGTTTACGTCATTGTCAATTTTAGAATTAAACCGTCAGTCAGTCAGTATTTGATAAGACTTTTATCTTTATGTACTTGTGTACTACGCATTGGCAAATCATTCTGTAGATACATATTTCCATTATCTCCTCTTGAGAATATTGTAGATTCATATTTCTTTGATTTTACAAAGAACTGCTGAATAGAATACAGAGTATACACAATAAATTAA